TCCGAGTTCAGTTCCCAGATCTCCCAAACAGAAAGGCTCCTGGAAGCCACACAGCCACAGTGAAGTGTCCCAGAGTGCTAGAGACGCAGTGTGGCTGATGGACACAGGGGTGTTCTTGTCCTGTCTTCACACCTGGAGACTATCCAGTGACAGCATTGTCTCGCAGGTAAGAAAGCAGGCTCCAGGCTCTGAGTTCATCTTCCTCTTCCTCCTGGGGCAAAACCAACCACAAAGCTACAAATGTGACAGCCGGGAGTGGGGTGGCTGAGAGGCTGAGCTGACAGGTGGCAGAAGTCTCGATTCTTAACCCTCCAGAGAGGCACAGTCCCTGCCTTGCGGGGTACTGCATCAGTGATCTAGAATCGTGATGTCAAGGGGCAGGCGAAGGTTTCCGGCAACACTGGTGACCTGCACAGTCTCCGGATCCGGGAGGAGGCTGGGACTGTGAATACTCTGAAGTTGTATGCACAGTGTCACAAGGACCCATGGGATGTTCCTGGACAAGGGCAGCGTCTTCTTGGGGCCCTCCGAGGAAAACATTTCCTGAGCGTTCCCATTCCAGTTTCCGCAGATCTGATAGCATGCCGGGTGATCTCTCTGCTCATGCGCCATCATTCGCTCTAGGCCTGGCATCCCACCACGCAGCCCTCAGTCCTCACCCCCAGTCACACGTCACCACTGGAGGGACATTCGAGGTGTTTAAAAGGCTTCTCAGAACATGTTCGAACTGGAAGTCCTCATTCCTCTCCCCTGGCAGCGAAACCCACTCCTTCCCATCCTCGCTGCCAGCTCTGCCGCAGGTAAAAGCTTTTCTCTTTTATCAAAACGGAGAGGGGGGAGAATGGGGTCGGTGAGAGAAGTCTGTGGGTAAAAGCGCTTGCTGCCAAAGCTAAAAACTTGGGTTTGAATGCCAAGACCCACATGGAGGAAGAGAGCATCAACTCTGAAAACTTGTCCTCTGACATACACAGCCATGTCATGGCACAGATGCCCTCACACAGAAATAAACAAAGAAAACAAATAATTGTAGTTTTAGCTTTGTTTTTTGGAGCGAGCCCGATGTAGCAGCTACTCTCTGGTCCCGCCCTCTCCATTTGCTGTGACTTCATGCAAAACCTCCGGGCCTCAACTTCCTCACCTGTAGAAGGGGCCAATAACGCTCAGCTCAAAGTAATGCTGTGAAATTTAGTGACTTTAAATATGCAGGGGACTTAAATTTTTATCTGACTGACCATGGGTGTCATATTTGTGTCTCGTGCTCAAGTGCTCAGAACAGTTCATCGATGAGTCGGTCTTCCTTCCCTCATACGCTACACCCAAACCCGCCAGCCATCTCCATTCTTCAAATGCTCACCCCACCTCACGCTCTCAGCAGCTTTCAGAACTCTGTGTGTGTGTGTTCATTTGCCCATGTGTACATGAACATGTGGACGTCAGAGGTCAGGGGAGGAACTTGGGTCACTGGGGATGTGCCCTTGAGGGGACCCGAGGGCCAGAGCCTACTTCCTCTTTCTCTCTTTGCCTTACGGTGTCATGAAAGGAACAGTTTTTGCCATGAGACATCATGATGCCAGAACACAGTGCCAGCCTTGAGGATTCAGACCTCTCAATCAGTTAGCAGATGAGCTTTTCCTGAGTAAACACCGACTGTCTCAGAAGTTTAGGTGCTCCCAGTGGTGGAAAGGTGACTAACCTCCCACTCTCCACCCATACCCCTCACCCCAGCAGAGGCTCCTACCCCACTGTAGGACAGGGCTGGACAGTCTCCGGGTATCGGGTGGGGTGGAGCTATGTATCACTCTGGCACCAGGTGGCGCTGCAGCACTTTGGGGGGGGGGGTGTTGCAGGGCCAAGGATTCCCTTCCTTTCCCTGCTCCCAGAAATAGGCAAAGTTAGCAACATATAATAACCCTTCTTTTCTTGAAGTTGGAAGAAGAAAGGCCAGGAGCTCTGGCGTGGCCACCCTGTCAGCGGTGGGTCACTTCTGCTCGATGAGCATCCTGGACTAGAATGAAGGCCAAGGACTGCTTGGTGACTAACTGCTGCCTCTGTGTAATGTTTAACCCAGGGCTGCAAGCTTCCATGTAGTAATAGTCATGGAGACGTCCAGCTCTGCCCCGGGCCGTCCATGAATTGGCCCAGGATGTGGGAAGCAGGGGGAAACTGCAGTCAGTTGGCATGGTGGGTGTTGCTTTCTAAACAGCACTGTTGACGTTACCACCACCGCCGTCTCTTTTCCCTGGAGGGAAGGAGAAGGCTTCTTAGGCATAAGAACCAGAGGAATGATAGCAACCCTAGAGGGGCAATGTCTGGGTTCTAGTCCACTGTTCCTCAAGATGTGTTGTTGCACACTGTGCATAGGGAGGGTGCTGAGAACACGGTTTCTCCCACTGAGTGGTGCATGCCCCACGCTCTGTCCCTGGATGGCAGAGCAGACTTAGCCGGTCCAAGGGAGTTGAGCACTAGGGTGGCTTTTCTTTGAAGCTACGTTTCTCCTTGGATTCGAGTTTCACAGGCACAGAGGCCATGGGCTTGCCTAGGCCTCAGATGGACTAGAAGTGGTCTCAGTGGGGGGTGAGATGCCACAGTGGATCTGTGGTCAGAGCCAGACCTTAGTCGTCCAGCCTTTGCTTTGATACTTGAAGCACTGATCACTGACCATCTTGCGAACCCCGGAGTGGGGCAGCACGGAGGCAGGAGGCTCTCCAAGCAGGCCTACTAGAGAAGCCGGGTGTCTTTCCACTCCCCGGGGGTCAAATTTTCCAGCACTCTCTGGTACTAACCTTTCCCACCTTTCCCACCTGACAAGGAGCCATTCTCTGGCTTGTTTGTTTGTTTGTGCTTGTGAGAAGAGGGACAGTTGAGGGCGGCCTGCCTGGGAGACAGGACCTACACATGGGAGGATAATACCCCATGGCCTGCGGCTGCCTGCCTTAGGAGTGTGTCTCGGAGCACAGATTCTTACATGGCTTACTCTCAGTCTGGGCTCCGAGACGTCAGGATCAGCTTACAGCATCTCTGTCTTCCGTCTGAGTCCTGGCAGTTTCCCCAAGCCCCTTATTGCCCTCCCCTTGGCCTCTCAGGAGAGCTGGGAGAGATCCTGTCAGAAGCAGTGTCTTTATTAGCACTAGAAGCTCCAACAGCTGCGCAACACTAGATAAATCCTGGTGTGAGGAATTTCCCCGTTTCTAGCCATTCTCAGAGAACCTGCATCCCTGGACTTCAATTCCGTTCCTTAAATGCAGTTTTGCTCTGAGCCTGAGTCTCCCCCAGTTCTTTGAGCCTCAGAAATCCTAGATCTCAGGGCTGTCAATCACTTTCTTCAATCCTCAAGCCCTGTGTGGAATTAGAATGGATTACCCCAACCCCCCTGGACGCCGGTGATGGAAGCTAGGGCCTTCTATGGGCTAGGAAAGCTACACTAAGCTACAGCCCCAGGCCTTGATTTTTTTTTTTATTACAAAATGCCTGAATATCTTTATCTACTGGCAAAAGTTAATGTGCACTTGTCTGGAGTTCCCTTGTAGCTCAACCTTCCTTGTGGAAAGGTTGGCTGATGAATTAGGACTGCCTGTCTCTGGCATTTTCTTTTGTGTGTTGAAAAGCTGTGTTGTACCGTGGCCCCAAGAACACAAGGAATGATCTTTGGGGAAATGAGTCACCAGTACCTCCCCTGCTGATGACTGTCCTCCCACACCCTGGGGACTGCACAGTATGGGAGGGAATCTTTGCAAGGCACTAACAATGTGGAGGGCAAACACTTCAGAGAGAGGCCAGCCGGGCCTGTTGTTTTCATGCTTTGAGAGCAAAGTGAGAAATACAAGCTGTCTCTTTACCTTCCCGGCAAACACCAGGCCTTGCCCTAAATCTCCTCTGATTTCACCTCCCTGGACACAGGCTGCCCAGTTGCTCAGAGTCAAATCCAAACAAAAACTCTTATTCATAGCGCCCAGGAGGTGAATGTCCATGCAGCTCCATGAGAACTGGCGATTGCCGAGGTGTTCATGGCAGGGTCCTGACGAATTCTCGCTGCTTCTAGAGCCATCTGGGTGCAGGGGTGGGGAGCAATTCAACTGTGCTCCAAAGTAGTGTTTGGAAATTAAATTTGGTATCTTTTCTCCGGTTTTTAGTGGGGTTTCAGGAAAAGCATGGCTGCATGCTCTGGTTTAAGGGTGCTGTGCTTGTTCCGATTGTCTCTGCTATACTGCAATGACTGTGTGCCCTGACTCCTTCCCGCTTTGAGCTCCTCAGACCCCACCTCAGAACCACACCTCCCTTCGCTGACTTTCTGTACTGCCAAGCGCCAGTCACTACTCAGTGGCTCCTACTGCCCCCAGAGTCCCTGCTTGCAGGTGAAGGCCAGGCCAAAGGGGGCTTTTATCTGTCACTTCCACACAAGATAGTCATCTGAGGAAAGGGAGACGCAGTTGAGAAGGTGCCTCCCTCAGACTGGTCTAGAGGCAAGCCTGTGGGACATGTTCTTGATTATCGATTGATATGAGGTGGCCCAGGCCCACTAATGGCGGTGCTACGCCTGAGCAGGTGGTCCTGGGCTGTAGAATAAAGTAGGCCGAGGAAGCCGTGGGGAGGACAGCATTCTTCCATGACTTCTGCTTCAGCTGCTGCCTCCAGGGTCTGCCCTGACAGTCTATGAAATAAACACTCTGCTCCACAGTTGGTTTAGGTCAGTGTTCTGTCATAGCAACAGAGAGCCAAACTAAGCCCAAAGGTAGCTCACCGACTCCAAGTCACAGTTTCCTGCTGACTGGGGTGTCATTCACCTGGGTGTCCTGGATATCTGGAACAGCAAACACGACGGTGGGTAAATGTATGTAAACATTGGAAGAGGAGGCCAAAGGGAGCCTGTTGAACTGCAGTGACTCACGGCCTACGCCCTCCCAAGTCCATCACAGCCTTCAAAGCTGAGAAGCCAGGGCAGGGCTGGGGTGTAGCTCAGTGACAAAGTGTGTGTTTGACATGCGCCAAGCCCTCAGTTTAATCCCAGCACAGAGGGAAAAGAAAAGGCCGGGACACCCAAGAACTTCTGTCTCTACCCCTGTCTGTCTCCATTCTGAAGCTCTGTAAGTTGCTTGTCTTTCATACCTCTCACCAAAGTATAAACCCCGCAGGTATGAGTGTAAACAGTGCAGGACTGTCTGTGGCCCAGCACGCCGGACAGAGAAGCAGCTGGAGACAGCTAAATGGGGCCTGGGGAACTATTTCCTAAGTTACTGCTAGCCTCAGGTTGGTATTTAGAGACAGAGACAGCAAACACAAACATGTCCACCCTGGCTTGTCATACAGCAGCAGAGGAACAAGGGGACAGTTCTGAGCCAAGTCTGGAAGAGGAAGTGGAGAACCAGAGCTTGTATCATGTAGAAAAATCCAAAGTAACCTGTTTCCTGGGCAATGCTTTGCTTTGGAAACTCTGAAACTTTCATGGTCCTTGGCTGTGGTACAGAGGCTCTGAAAACACTTATAAATTGGGGCTGACGAGATAGTTCAGTGGTTAAAGTCACGTGCTATTCTTGCAGAAGATCTGGAGTTGGTCCCTAGCATACACATGGTGATTTGAAACTGCAATTCTGGTCTCAGGGGAATTGACTCCCTCTTTTGGCCTCCACAGGCACCAGCATTTGTGTGTGTACTGACATGCATGAAAACACTCATATACATGAAATAAAAACTAAAAATTTACCTTCTTGAAAAAAGAATTTTAGAAGCCATTAAAAATAAACTTTAGAAACTGGGGGTATAGCTCAGTTGGTAGGGTGCCTGCCTAGCATGCAGGAAACCCTGAGTTTATTCCCCAGGGCTGCATGAGCTAGGCATGGTGGCTTATAATCTCAGGACTCAGGAGGGAGGAAGAGTAGTTTAGTGTCATCCTGGACTTCACAGTGTAGGGTACATGAGATCCTACACTTCACAGTGAGTTTGGGACTAGCCTCGGATACATGAGATCCTAGACTTTACAGTGAGTTTGGGACTAGCCCAAACGAGAACCTATCTCAAGAGCCCAAGGAAAGCCTGAGAATTTTACAGACATCCTGCCCCTTCCTGTAGGTAAGCTTAGTCAAACCTCCCTGGATCGCTAAGCTGGACGACTTTGGTACAACCACCCTGGCTGGGGTGAGCAGCAGTGAGCGAACACTGAGTTGTGTCTCAGTGTCTCATCTGGGGAAAATTTCTCCGACAACATGCGCTGGAGGTGAGGACAGGAGTGGCTGTCTCTAGGAGCTAGTCTTTGGTTTGAAGGTCACAAAAATGAAATGCAGAGAGAACTTAGATTTGCCTAGAGTGGTTTTTCCATGTGAAAACTCAAAGAAAAAAAGTAACTAAGGAAATGCACAACATGACTGACAGAGCTGGGAGGTTAAAACGTAACTGATGGGTGGGTCCTGGTCCACAAAGACGGGGGTCAGGTAACCGATGGGTAGGTCCCCGAAGATGGAGTCAGGTAACCGATGGGTGGGTCCTGGTCCACAAAGATGGAGTCAGGTAACTGATGGGTAGGTACTGGTCCACGAAGATGGAGTCAGGTAACCGATGGGTGGGTCCTGGTCCATGAAGACGGAGTCAGGTAACCTATGGGTGGGTCCTGGTCCACAAAGATGGAGTCAGGTAACTGATGGGTAGGTCCTGGTCCATGAAGACGGGAGTCAGGTCCCACCTTCTCCAGGAAGGCTTTTACAGCAGTGCCAGCATCTGATAACCTGCTTCTGGCTCCTCTAAAATCATCATAATGTGAGAAGATGCTGAAGTCTAGATTGTTCACTCTCCGCTGGTCCACTTAGCACATCTCTCCAGTGCAGTTTGGAGTCAGGGGCTGCATCTTCCTCGAGAATGAAGGTGCACGGAACACTTCATAGGCTGAGCTTGCTGGCTAGGAGCGGGAGAGGTCAAGAGAGACCTCCCAGATGAGCAAGGAACATGGCCTTCCCTTGGCTTTTTGGTTGCAGGCCCCAGGAATGTTTGAGGCAGCCTGGTTATGTCTTGGCCAGCTCATCATCTATCAAAGCTCTGTTTAATTTTGATCTTGCTATTGCTGTCACTTATCTGGAGCCAAGAAACCAAAAAATCCAAATAATGAAATGCCTAGTTCAGCTCAAACATAGAACCAGGGAGACACCGTAAATAAGGAACGGAAAACAGTGGGGTCTGGGGGTCCTGGTAGTGAATACAGACCCGACTCCAAGATTAACTTGAACAAGAGGATGTAAAGCAAAGGGGGTGGCAGGAGAGACACCTAGCACTGAGCTGGGTGGACCACTGCTCACACGCACTCTATATGATGGTCTGGATGTTTATTGTTCTCTTGTTTTTAAGCTGCTCTATCTTCATCCTCTGAGACCCCATCCTTTAAGATGTGGGTAAACATGCTTGATTAGTCTGAACAGAAGTGTTTTTCTATGCTGCCAAAAGAGAAGTTTTACCAAGAAAACACAGGGAATGAAGCTGGGAAAGGAGGAAGCGGTCTTTAAAGGACCCTACGAGAATAATTGCTGGGATGTAAATGCTACATCGAATCATACGTGACTCACAGGTTCTTTGAAGGAGGCTGAGCAGAATGTCTTCCTGGAATTCTGTGGGTAGCAGCTCACATTCCGTCACAACCGAGCCGTGATTGCTGGTCCTCTGAGTCAGCGGTCCTCAGGTATCTGCTCCATGCACCTCTTATTCCAACGGCGGGTGAAGCATGAGGTACGAGCATGACGGCTCTTTCACAGCTGAGCAAAGTGAGGCCTCAGGGCTTTTCCTCATCACCCAGCTGGAAGCCAGGTCAACAAAGTGTATGTTTTAAAATCAACCTTCATGTGTCTGTGTGTGTGTGCGCGCGCGCGTGTGCATGGGGGAAGTGCTGTGTGTGAGTGCTGTATGTGTGTGCGCGCGTGTGCATGGGGGAAGTGCTGTGTGTGAGTGCTGTATGTGTGTGCACGCGTGTGCATGGAGGAAGTGCTGTGTGTGAGTGCTGTATGTGTGTGCGCGCGTGTGCATGGGGGAAGTGCTGTGTGTGAGTGCTGTATGTGTGTGCACGCGTGTGCATGGGGGAAGTGCTGTGTGTGAGTGCTGTATGTGTGTGCGCGCGTGTGCATGGGGGGAGTGCCCGTGCCATGCTGTGAGTGAGTCAGAGGACAACCTGGGTCCCAGTCTTTACCTTTCATTCTGTTTAGGGCAGGGACTTTTGTTGTTTGATGTTTGTGTAGATCAAGCTGGCTGTTCCCTGAGCTTCTGGAAGCTTCCGGTCTCTGCCTCCTATTTCCCCCTAAGAGCCCTGGGATTGCAGGTAAATGCTATTTCCATGAGACAGGAGATAAGAACTTAGGTCCTCATGTCTGTAGAGCAAGTGCTCTACCCACTGAGCAACCTCCCCAGTCCTACCACGTGTATGTGTCTGTGTGTGTGTGTACGTGCGTGTACGTGCATGTGTTAGACTCTCTAACTTTAACAAACTCAAATCTGCTTCCTTTTATTGATAATCTTGGATTTGGAGAATTGCTGTTAAATAAAACTATAAAACAGTTTTCTATCCAGCTAACTATTTCCCTACATTATACAGGGAATCGAGGAGACAAAAGAATACTCAGTCTACCCTTGGGAACCAATTGTCCAGAGAGCGCTTCTTTCCAGACTGTAATATGGTGCTCATTATGTCTGAACAATGACAAGCCAGTGGCGGGTTTGTTAAACGCTAGGGAGGTCATTAACACGCTGGCCTTCCTAATTCATGCGGAAAGCCTGCTTTCGTTTATCAGAAGGCTGTAGGGGAGGTGCTCAATTATGGACGTGATGCTACAGGAGGGCAAGTCCACGACATTTACGATATTACAGACAGGCAAAGGCCAGCCAAAGAACATTGGTTAAGCGTCTAAGTGCCGGCAAGTTTTCCTCTTGAATAACCATTGGTCCAATGTTCAAGGGCTTATGTAAATATGTTGTGTCCTTTTTACAAGATTTTTAAAATGGTAACTTGCCCTACCCAGTAACTATAATAAGGTTCAGAAACAGTTGAAAAGAAAAGTGCTTCCAACTTTTTATTTTTCTTTTCTTTTTTTTTTAACGTCAAGGCTAAAACACAGGCCTTGCCCTTACAGAGCTTATGCTGCCCCCATGAGCTGAATCCTCAGCCCCCAGCTAATGACCTAACTAAGGAGACCCGGCTCACATGTGAGAAGGCAAGTCAGGATCCAGCAGCTTTTTAAAGTTTTTTTTTTTCAACCGTTATTTTCAATTATGTGTCTATGTGTCTGTGTTTGGTATCAGCTCCCCTGGATCTGGAGTTACAGATGGTCGTGAGCCATGATATGTAGGGTTCTGGGAACCAAACAGGATTCTCCACAGAAACAGTAGAGCCCTTAACTGCTAGGCCATCTCTCCAGCCTCCAGGATCCAACGGCTTTTTAAGTCACAAATAAAGCATTCTCACCTCTGTGCAAAAGCCTCCTAAAAACAAAGGAAGCAGGAAAATGAGAAGGGAGGCAGATACAAACTGGAAGGACAGCAACTAGGAAATGGGGACTGGGAAGACACTCACTGTGGGTGACCTTCACCAGGAATCATGGTCCCCCCATGATCACAGGGTCAATTATCAAAAATGCTATGGAGAGACACAAGACAGAATGAACCAAGCACGCACAGAGAGGAGGAGTAGGCTAGGACGGATGCCAGCAGAGTTCCCGAGGCCGCTCTGGCTGAAGAAAGAAGGATGCCGGATGCCTTGGGATTTGCAGCTCTCCACCATGCAAGGGACAGATCTCATTTTTCCCCTCCTGCTGGCTCTAGCTGGCCGCAGCAGCTCTCAGTTGAGGGACAAGCCAGGGCCATGTCCTGGAAATGCTCAGGTTTCAGTTTTACCCTAACCTCAGAGGTAGCTTCTCCATGGTTAGCAAACCTGAGCAAGGGCCGATTCCTGGAGGAGGAGAGTGGAAATGATGGCTGGTCCTGAAGGCTGGGACCTCCTGTCTGGTAACAGCTCCGCTGCTGAGCAAGCGGAAGACACCTTGACTCCACAGGGCTTCTCCCCTCGCTGGAGACTTTGTTACTGTCTGTGGCAATTTGCAAAGCAGATCGAAGCTACTGTATAAAAACTGCTCACTTTTTCATCCCTTTGGCTTTTGTTTTGTGAAAACCTTGCGTCCTCATAGTCCAGGCAGAGGCAGGTCTTGAACCTGAGATTTTTTTTTTTTTACCTCAGTCCCCCCAAACCCTGAGATTATAGGTGTGTGCCACTCTGCCTTTCTCATCACCTTTTTTTTTTAAAGGATGTTGTCCTTTCATATTAAGAAATCCATGTCATCGTGAGCCTTAGAAAACCATGTAACTCTGAGAATGTCACCTGTCTAGTGTGTCTTGTGCCGTGTTCAGCTAGAGTAAATACCTGGTCCCGGGCCCCAGGCTGAATGTAACCTGGTAAGTGTTACTGCCTTGCATCAAACACTAGATTAGCTTCACCAAGGGTGGGGACTTGGGACTCCAGTCCAAAGACCTCACAGAGATAAAGGATCTTTGCACAGAAGGAGCAAGAGATGGGGATGTGGTCCCGATATTTGTCTTGAAGAGGAGGTGTCTGAGTAGTTGGTGGCCCAGGCTTGGGGTGGTCACAGCAGTGCAGGGAAGAGAGAAAGATGGAAGAACGGAAAAGAAGCCAGCTCTCACTGCACAGGAAGACGGCGTAGGGCTCAGGCACACAGGAGAGTAAGCATATATCAGAGAAGGGGAAGAAGGCAATGGAATTTACCTGCTCACCCTTCCTGGCCTTAGCTCTCTCTGCAGGGCCTCCATTGCCATGCAGATCAGGCAGTGGTGGCACACACCTTTAATCTCAGTAGCCATACTAGTTAGCCATAGAGGCCAGGAGGTGGTACACACCTTTAATCTAGCACTAGAGAGGAATTTAAAACAGGAGGAGACAGCTCTGAGCTCAGTCTCAGTCTGAGGATTCGTGGAGGCAAGATCGCCACTTCAGTCTGAGGTAGAGGTAAGAGCCAGGAGCTGGCTGATTTGCTTTTCTGATCTTCTATTGAACCCCAATATCTGTCTCTGGGTTTTTATTATTTGTGCTACAGTTGCTAGTGAGACCCAGGCCTACATTTCATTCATTCAGCTTTACCTGGGGGGCATATGAAAAGACACAGGTCCCAGCTGTCTTGCTTTGCAAGACTGGGAGAAGATAGAAGAGGGACCTGCAGTCTATGGCATTCATTCATTCATTCGTTCACTCCTCACTCACTCATTCATTCTTTGAGGAAGGCAGAGGCCTTGCGACTTGATCACCATTTGCTGGGCAGCTCTCCATGCCACTGAACTGGAGCAAGAACTGTCAACACCTGAGCTCTGGGGGACACACTCAAGCCGTAGGAACAGTGTTCCTGCAGAAGTGATAGTTCCAGTGGCCAGTGCTGGAGACTTGGTCCCATGATAAACTAAGAGTTCCTTGCTATTCCATCACAGCCACAACCCCACCAGCCCTCCCAAGGCCATTTAAACACACCCATTCCTCTACATTGACATTACTTTTGGCAGCCTGTAACTATAAATTTCCCAGGGAAATTGAAGGGGAGAGGGACTTAAATGTCTCACTTAGCAAAAGATCCTAACCCCGTTTCTCTATGATGTTTAAATACTAATTCTGTGATGCTGTGGAAGTCACTTAACCCCTCTGAGCAACTGTGGCAATTTCATGAGACCCAGGGTATTATATATAACATAGGAGTAAGTGAAATCACCATGGCAACAGCACTTTTGCACTCCAGCGTACTGAACAAGGTAGGGGCCATCCTGCCTCCTCTCTGCACCCCTGTTCACTGGTCCTCTCTAGTGGTTCTTCCTTCTTTCTTTGACCCTCTTGAGCTTGGCTCCAGCTCTGTTCCTAGTAGCTCTCCCACCAGCTCTTGCCCCTGAATTCAAGCCTAATTCTACCCTCTGTTCCTTGGAGTCACCCTGAGCGGTCTGCTCTTGGCACCGTATTAGAGGGAACAGTCTTAACTACAATGGCTCGCCAGGACAGTGATCCCACAACAATAGGAGCTTTCCCTTGCCGCACTGAGCAATGTCTCCACAAGTACCAACGTGTCTGGTAGGAGAAGAAGGGCTTGCCTGGGAAGAGCTGGTTCAGCTGTCTCTGAGATTCTGCTATGCTGACATGAAGCGAAAACAAGTGGACTTTCCCATGGTTTCTGTGATGCCCTCTCCCACATGGGCTCACTTTCACCTCACAGCGAGGGAGCAAGGGCATCTCCCATTTTTACAAGCAGATTCTCAAAGCCCAGCAAGTCGTTCCAGGCTTATTTTATGGCCAGCGCGAGGCCCGCCAAAACTAGGAACTGTGTTCTAGTTCCAAGTTATTTTCTGTCATTCTTCTGCCCTTTGTTTTGACCTGTTCCCGTTCCCTTTGTTCTTGCCTTTCACAGGCATTTGCATGCCAGGCCTGTGCTCTTGGCGTGTTTACTTACCTCACCAAGGAAACAACACACTCCAGAAGCCTTGAGGGACCTCAAGTCCACACGGCCACTTCCTACACTGAGGTAAGTGGAGGCCAAACTGACCTTCCTCACTGGCCAGAGGGGCTTTGTGAGCCACGAACTGCTCCAGGGAGGTACACAGTTTTTCTGTCAACTGACTTCTCACGTTGCGAGCTCTCTTTGTGGTAGGGACACCTCCATTCTCGGAGGCTAATGGCCTTAGTGACTATAGGCTGTTCCCTGGAGGATGTTGTATGACTGGTTCTGAACTAGGGGATGGGAATGAGGAAGCAGAGGCCAGAGAGGCAATAAAGGGACTGTTGAGCAGAAATCCAGCAGAGAATCAGAGACAAACAGAGAGAACATAAGTGTGTCACATGATCTCAACCCTCTGGTTCCTGTCCCCAATGCATTTGCTACTTGCTGGTAGATTTGGAGTTAGTGGAGAGGGAGCGGTCATATGGGAATAAGACAGAGCAGGGACATTCCACATAGAGGTTGCTCTGTGCAGTTTTCAGACAAGGGACTGATGGGGGTCTATGTCAGCAAGACATGGCTCTCTTGAGCTGCAGAGACATGTCTGTCAAGAGGCCCTGTGTCTAGTTAGGGTTCTTATTGCTGTATGAAATACCACAGCCAAAGCAAGTTAGGGAGGAAAATGCTTATTTGGCTTATGCTTCCACATCACTGTTCATCATCGAAAGAAGTCAGGACAGGAACTCAAGCTGGGCAGGAACCTGAAGACAGGAGCTGATGCAAAGACCATCAAAGGGTGTTGCTTACTGGATTGTTCCCACTTGTTCAGCCTGCTTTCTTATAGAACCCAGAACCCAGGCAAGGGATGGCACCACCCACAATGGTCTCGGCCCTCCCCCGTCAATCACTAATTAAGAAAATGTCTTACAGGCCTGCCTACAGCCATATCTCATGGAGGCATTTTCTCAATTGAGGTTCCCTCCTCTCAGGTGACTTTAGCTTGTGTCAAGTTGACATAAAACTAGCCAGCACACCCTGCTTGGTGTCCATTCTTCTTTTCAGTCAAAATCAAGTCTATTTCCTCCACTATTGTTCAGTTGGTTACATTTGTCAACGTCGGAAATTTAACTTAAAAATCTAGAACTCCAGAAAAGGAGTCACCAGGGGTAAAAAAGAAGAACATGACCAGAGACCTGGGAAACTGTGGACCAAGCAGTCTGGGGAGATAAATTACATGGTTGCAGATGCTGGGACTGCAGCCAGAGGAAGGAGCTATTGCTCTGCAGAAGAGACAATGAACAATTCCCCTCAGCAAAGCAGAAGACCATGTTAGCAAAGTCAGAAATACCCAGCCTCCCCAGGGCTGCAAGTGTTGGTGCTGATCAGCCCCTATCTGAAGGCACCAACCCCGAGCGACGCAACAGTAGTAGTGGTGTTCGTCATCAGGTGGTGCAGAGTTGTCAAACACAATTCCATATCCTCAGCCCCTCTGAGCTCACGGAAACCCATCTCCTGTCTCCGTGCCAGGGACGCTCCCACCTGTGACAGATACCTACCCGTGCCTGCCTGTCTTCTCAGAGGAGGTCTTTTTGTCTACGCTACTCACACCCCATGGCTCAGCTACAAACACCAGCATTACCCATAAACACCAGGGAGAAACTTGCATTTTTATCAGCTGCCGTTTAGATTTCAGAGTGCATTTTACATCTAATTTCACTTGACATCCGAGAAGGTGGTGGCAAGCCAACTGAGCTGTAAGGCGAACTTGCCTGTGATAATGGGGCACAGCCTAGCAAAGACAGCAAGGTCAGCTGCTTGGTGCTCTCTGTTCTGCACGCTGTGTCCACCAGGCTGGTTCAGGGTCAACTCCTTGTTTTCCCAAGGACCATCAGACTGTCAGAGGGATCAAGTCCATGCTTTGTGGCAGTTAATCAACAGGGAACCCAACAAATGCATATGAAATAAATGGATTTGAAGAGGCAAGCTGATATTTGTGATGAGCCCCAGGCAACTTCACACTGAACCATCGGCCTAAGTTCAGTGCTTTTTCCTCTTCTCAGATGGGCCTAAAATTTTTTTTTTCTGTGTGGCCGGAAGATTTTATATAGAAAATGATTGTTAAGATCTCCAGTCTTGTGCCAATTAGAGTGAGCTGGGTATGCTACAGGAACAAGCATCCCCCAGTCCTAGCCTGGATATAACATGTTTAATTCATTTTAGGTCACAGCAGATCTTCTGTGGGTTCAGGCAGCTCTTCGGGGCAATGTTCCTTGTTATTGATTCAGTATCACAACCATTCATAATTCTCTATCAGGACACACCTCCATGAATGTCACAGCAGACGAAGAGCAAGTAAGTGCTTCCCTCTAAAGTGACATGTGACATGTTTAATTTGCCACAGTAAGTCCCCTGACCACACGGAACTCTAAGTCAGCAGGTGCGCCAGGTATTGGTTCCTCTAAGATAAACTGCCACTGAACTAACACTTTTGACAATAATTTCTGACTTTACATGATTCTGCGGGCCAGCTGGACAGCTCTTTTGCTGGCTTTCCTTGGGCATATTTTGACAGCTGTATTTGGCTGGGCAATTGGGGTTGGCCTGGAGAAGCCACGATGCCCTCGTTCACGTGTGTAGCCACTGCCTGGGTACCTTGGTCGCTTTTCCTCCTCTAGCAGGCTCAGTTCACCTCCGTACGCAAGGTCCCAGGACAGTTGTTCCAAAAGGACAAAGGCAAAGCTGTAGAATTTCTTAGGCCCAGGCTCCAGAATTTATACAACACTGCTGTGTTTTATTGGCAAAGTCTAGTAGCAAATCCAGCCCAAGTTCAAGGTTTGGAGAAATTATTTCCTAGGGTAGCTTTATCATCGCCATGTTTTCGCCTGTTACATTAGACATATACACAACGAATTCCCGCTTTTTGTGTTCTACAACGTCACCATAAACTCTGAATTAAAAATACCAAGTCATTGCTTCTGGAGAAATGGAGTGTGTTCCTACAAGCCTCTGGCAGAAAACCACCGTAACTAATCAGCTCTCCAACCTTGCTTTACTTCTATTTAAGGCTATCTTATCTAATACATATCACTGATTTCGTAAACTTCCGAACTCACAGCCAACTCAGCCCACAGCCATTCAGCCCACTGAAGTGTCACCCATCAGAGCTTGCCTACACGCATTTCCTCAAAAGGAACATTTATGAGACAAGGAGCACCAACAATAAGCGTTCTGTCACTAACTGCACTACACTTGTTAACAGTGTAAGAGCCGAGACGAGATGGCAAAATATCGCTCTGCTGTATGCACAGCTGTGTGCCTACAGCTCAAACTGTTTACCGCTCTACATCGCCCCAAATGATTGCAAAAGCAACATGAGCCCTACATATTGATTTTGAGATTACACATTAATTTTTACAAGGAGATAAGTCCACAAATGCAGAGCCCATAAATAACAAGAATCAACTGTACAGGGAAAACAGATAATGGTGAGAAATACGACATATTTTATTTGCTTGCCTGGTCATCTTTGCTTGAAAGTAGACATTTTATATAATGTGACAATTCTGAAATTCCTGTAATCTAATTCTCCATCCACCTTGGGTTTGCTTTGATGTTTGCTATTATTCACTATTCTGAGCCAGGAAATTCTCTCTCTCTCTCACTGTCTTTTTCTCTTTGTCTCTGTCCCTCTCAGAGACCCCTGAGAACCCAGAACCTCAAACATGCCAGACAAATGCTCCATATCCCCAGCCCCTGAACCCAATTTTTTTGTCTTGCACGTCCACTGAAGTCTGCACAGTTAGCCAGCTTGGTGGCATGCTGATGACTGGAACCCATAGGTCGCCTGGTCTTGGCTGTTGGCGTTGTATAAGCGTTGGGGCATGCCATTGGCAGCAGCTGGGCACTGGTTGATGTGCCTTAGCTTTTACTTCCTCCCTTTTGGGAGTCTGTATAAAAATGCAGTCTTTGTTTAAGAAGCCCCGAGGCAATCTAAAACAAACAAACAAAGCTTTATTACACAGCACATCCATTTTACAGGTGTAGAAACTGAAATCAATAAAAGATTAATAACTGACCCAAGGGCACCCAGATAGCATACAGTGACCCCAGGATGAAAACCAAATAGTCTGACCCCAAAGGCTGCAGAGTGAAATGCTTTGCCTTGTTGTTGAGGAAATAGGTTTAGAAAGGTTAAAATGCTGGAGGTCACTCAGCTGACAGGGGTAGATCTGCCTGGACCCCAAACACGTCCAGTTCTCCACTGTTTGCCCAAGCCACTGATGAGCCACCAGGAGAGAGGACCAGGGGTGGACAGCAAGGGTCAGGTTGAAAATGCCTGGAGAAGGTCCACTGACCAATTAAAGCTTCTGGAGAGGTCGTCTGAAGGTCACCAAATGAACAAAATGATAGAGATTCAGAGAGACACAGGGGCTTGCCTGTGTTTGCAGCAGGCTTAAGATCCTGTTAGGCACACGCTGTATACTGCTATTACAAAAAATAATATTAAAAGTTGCATTTCCGCTGGACATGATGGTGCACGCCTTTAATCCCATCACTCGGGAGGCAGAGGCAGGTGGATCCCTGTGAGATGGAGGCTAGCCTGGTCTACAGAGTGAGTCCCAGGCCAGCAGAGACTGGAGAATGAAAGCCTGTCTCAATAACAAACAGCAGAAGCTGCGTCTGATGAAGGTGAGTCCTTTTCGTTCACTTTCTCACTGAGCTCCTGGACCCCAGGCCCCTCCAGTCAGCCAGCAGGCCCTGAGCAGACGCTCCCACCCTCACGAGGGCCAAGATGGATGAAGTCCTAGTGAAGCCCACATCTGCGGTTCCATGAGCCCATCCATTTCCCTTTCCTTTGTCAGTTCTTTTCCTTTGCCCTGAATGATCCTAATGCTGTTGTCATTGAGAACTCAGCCTGTAGGTGCCCATTGCCATTATAGATCTGAAGGAGTTCTCAGTCCAGCCGGGGCTCCCTTTCCTGGTGCTCAGAGGACACACTCGAGAGGGTGTCGATGGAATTGCGGTTGGCCAACCAAACAGAAGCAGAATAGAAGCCTGGTGACTTATCCAGTGCAGCCACAGCCACC